TCACCACTCTCTCTGATGGTTTGCAACAAGTACTTTGTCCTTGTCCTTTTACTCCTAGACCATGTTCCAGTAGATGCTGATTGCTGGGGCCATCCAATTAGGGCATACAGCTGGCAAAATAGGATGATGTAACTGGGAAGTGCAATGTCTTGGATGGATCCTTAGCATTGGTATTGCCCATTTGACCCAAGGGCCAAAGGCCCTAAGACCCAAAGCAGGGCTGAGTGTAGAAGAGAAGGTTCTGAGTTGGCCAGGTGCTGTCCAGGTATGGGACTTCAGTAGGTGGGGCTGGGTGAGGGTGGGACCTGAGAGGAAAGTCACCTGATCAGGGTGCTGACAGTGAGTGTGTCAGGTAGTCAGGGATGCTGGCTTTCAAGGGGTGTCTGAATGTAGAAGAGAAGGTTCTATAGTTGCCAAGTGCTCTTCTGGTGCCAGCAACGGTAATAATTTATTACATGCCTCCTATGTGCCTGACTGTACTTAAGCATGCTATGGGCAGAATAGTGAATGATCCAGGAAGCATCAAAAAGTGACGGAAGGAGTACACAGAGTCACTGTACCAAAAAATAACTGACTGATACAGAAATATTTCCATGAAATAACTTACGTTAAGGATTCAGTTGTGATGAATGAGGAAGTTGGGCTGCTCTCAGGGAATTGGCAAAAAACAGGGCTCCAGGAATTGATGGAATACCAATTGACTTATTTAAAAAAATAGATGCAGTCCTGGCAGTGCTCACTAGGCTGTGCCAAGATATCTGGAGGACAACCACCTGGCCAACTGGAAGAGATTTATATTTATTCCCATTTAATAAAATGTTGATCCAAAAAGTGTGGAAATTATAGAATGATATCACTGAGATCACACACAAACAAAATCCTGCTGGAGATTATCAGCAGACTGGAAGAGTACATAGGTAGAGAACTACCAGAAATACAAGATGGGTTTAGAAGAGGTTGTGGCACTAGTGACATCATTGCCAATGTCAGATGGATCTTGGCTGAAAGCAGAGTACTAGAGAATTGTCTATCTGTCTTTTATTGGCTATGCAAAGGCATTTGACTGTGTGAATTACAACATATTGTGTCTAACCTTAAGGAGAATGGAAATCCCAGAACACTTGATTGTGCTTATGTGAAACTTGTACTTGGACTAGGAGGTAGTGTTCAGAATATTCTGTATGCAGAACAGATTATTCAAGAGGTTAGACTTTATGAGAAGGAATGTGCATCAGGATTGGAGAAAGATCATCAACAACTGCATTATTCAGATGACACAAACTTACTTGCTGAAACTGAGGAGAGCCTGAAGCATTTGCTGCAGAGGGTCAAGGGTAGTTTGCAATATGCATTGAAGCTCAACAACAAGAAGATGGAGATTCTCACCACAGGGCCCCTTGGCAGCACCATGATGGTTGGAGAAGAGATTGAGACTGTTAATTTCAGCTTGCTTGGTTCCACAATCAATACTCTTGGCACCAGCAATCATATAATCAAAAGATGAATTGCATTATGTAAATCTGTTGTCAGAGACTTTCCAGAGTACTGAGAAGCAGTGATGCCAGTCTAGAGTCTAAAGTGCACCTGATCCAGGCCATGGTTTTTGCAGTTACTTGCTAAGTGTCAGAGAGCTGGACAGTGACCGAGGATGGTAGATGAAGAATTGATGTCTTTGAGTTGGATAATGACCAAGGATGACAGATGAAGAATTGATGCCTTTGAGTTGGAGTGACCAAGGATGATAGAAGAATTGATGCCTTTGAGTTGTGGTACTGAAGAAGAGTATTGAACATACCATGGACTACCAAGAAAACTAACAGATCTGTCCTAGAGAGGCTGAAACAAAGGGGCTCCTGAGAGGCTGAAACAAAGCTGCTCCTAGTGGCAAGCATTTTGAGACTCTGTCTCCCATACTTTGGCCGTGTTGCATGGAGGCACCGGTATTTGGAGAAGGATATCATACTTGAAAGGATCTAGGGACAGCAAAGGAGAGGAAGACCTTAGTGAGATGATTGGCACAATAACTGGGCTAATAGTAATAGGTGTGTCAGAAACAGTGAGATTAGCTCAGGCTAGAGCAGGATTTAGAGGTATTGTGCAAAGGGTCGCTATGAGTTGTAGTTAATTCAGTGGCACATAGCAACAACAACATGTTCCTGACAGTGTGCTAAGCATACATGTTTTTAAGATTGGTCAGTTACTCCTAATTTATGTATAAAGAAACTAAAACCCAGAGAAATTAACATAATTTGAATCAGATAAGCAAATAATGGATGGAATCAGAATTCAAAGCTAGATCTATTTCCCTTCAAAAATAGGACTTTTATTCTTTTTCATTTTATCCTCGCCTCTTGCTTCTGCTTTTTTGTTTGTCCCCATGCTAAATTGACTCCCATTATTTCTTTCTTTTTTTTTTTTTTTTTGACTCCCATTATTTCTATGGCTTCTTGATGAAAGCTTTTTAATATGCTCTCTGAATTATTTGGTAAAAATAATCAACATATATGTTTTATAAACACTTCTGCATTATTTTGTTAGTTTTCCAAGTAGTCCTGTTGTGTCTGAAATGAAATTAGGTACTTTTTTTAAATTTAATTTTTGAATTTTATGGGAAAGAAACAGGCCTGTAAAGCTAAAATGATTTTGATAAGTGACACACATGGTGTAGCATATAGCTGGACATGTGGAGGATATATTGTATATTCTTGTTTCATGAATAAAAAGTTTAATAATTGAATGAGTGTTCTGTTGTACATAGGGTTTTCAGAGGCCTGCTATTTCAGAAGTGGATGGCCAATCCTTCTTCCTAGTCTGTCTTAATGTAAATGTTCAGATTTAGAGAAGTATCAGACAGACCAGCAAGTTAAAGGTATATCCTTTATTGTGGAGTTAAAAATTAGTGTCAGTGTTGTCCCTGCCTTTGGCACATGTGTCTTTACCCACTTATTTCTCTGCTCCACCATCCACCAGGATACCCATCCACTTCTACCCACTCCCTTCACATCTATCTCCCATTGACCAGTCCTTGATCTAATAGCTTATATATAATATAAGCTTGGGTTCTGTGATTCCAAACACATCAACTTCTCATAGTTCCTTATCTTGGGACCAGTGTCTCTGAAGTTCATTTGTAATGTTTCCCGAGCAAAGGTGATGCATCCTGTAGAACTGGTATGTAGATAGGTTTTTCTTGGCCTGAGGGCCACAGGCCCAAGGGCCAGGACAAATGCCGCGCAGTTTGGCGTCTTCATTGTTACCTGGGAAGATGGGTGAGGAGTGTGATGGACCCTTTAGATGCCCAGCTTTCTGCCAGTGAGGCTCCTTCCACCCTGTCTGCATGGCCTGCGGAACGAATGCCGCGCGGTTTGGTGTCTTCAGTGTTACCTGGGAAGATGGATGGGGAGTGTGATGGACCTTTTAGATGCCCAGCTATCTGTGTTTCATTGACTGTGCAAAGGCATTTGACTGTGTGGATCATAACAAACTGTGGCTGACTCTGAGAAGAATGGGGATCCCAGAACACTTGATCGTGCTAATGCGAAACCTATACTTGGACCAGGAGGCAGTCGTCAGAATAGAGCAAGGGAACACTGCATGGTTCAAAATTGGGAAGGGCGTACGCCAGGGATGGATCCTATCTCCATACCTTTTCAACCTATATGCAGAACAGATTATCCGGGAGGCTGGGTTCTATGAGGAGAAATGTGGGGTCAAGATTGGTGGACGGTTTATCAACAATCTGCATTATGCAGATGACACAACCTTGCTTGCTGAAACTGAAGAGGACCTAAAGCACATGCTGCAGAGAGGGTCAAGGACTGCAGCCTACAATAAGGATTGAGGCTCAAGGTCAAGAAGACAAAGATTCTCACCACTGGACCAATTGGCAGCATCAGGATGGATGGTGAAGAGACTGAGATTGTACACAGCTTTAGTTTGCTTGGCTCCACAGTCAACACTCTTGGCACCAGTAGCCAGGAAATTAAAAGGCACATTGCCATGGGAATGTCTGCTGTTAGGGACCTCTCCTAAGTACTGAAGAGCAATGGTGTCTCTCTTGAGACTAAGGTGCATCTGATACAGGCCATGGTCTTCGCAGTCACTTGTTATGCATCAGAGAGTTGGACAATGACCAAAAAGGATAGAAGGAGAATTGATGCCTTTGAGCTGTGGTGCTGGAGAAGAGTATTGAGAATACCATGGACTGCTAGGAAAACAAACAGATTTGTCCTGGAAAGGGTTAAACCGGGTGGCTCCTTGGAGGCAAGGATTCTGAGGCTCCGTTTAACATACTTTGGACATGTTGTGAGGAGAGACCGGTTCTTGGAGAAGGACATCATGCTTGGGAGGGTGGAGGGACAGCGCAGGAGGGGAAGGCCCTCTATGGGGTGGATTGATTCATTGACTGGGATAATCGGAATGGGCGTGTCAGAGACAGTGCGATTGGCACAGGACAGAGCGGAGTTTAGGGCTGTTGTACATAGGGTCGCCATGAGTCGCAAGCAACTCGACGGCACATAACAACAACAACAACAATTGAATGAGTGATAGAGAGCAAGGCAGACAAGAAAATTCAGAAAGAATTAGAATTGGAAGTGACTCCTAAACCAATAAAAGCTGCTATTTCTTAATAAAAAGTTTCTACTTAAAATCCTTTTCATTATTATAATGAGTTTTAATAATTGATAATTCTATTTATTCTCATAAACCCTCAAGGTAAGTAAGTGTCCATATATTACTGTGAGAAAACTGAAGTTCAGGTGGCTTGTATTTTATTATATTCAGGTAGAATTTGTTGGAGCCGAGATTCTAACCCAGATTAATTTTATAATCAGCAGCTCTTTTCACCACACTATTTTTGCCAGCACTAAAGAATTAATCTTTACCTTAGTTTTAAGCATGGGGTGAGAAGTATGGATAAGACTAGTTTAAGGTGTCCTTTAGATCATTATTTCCTCACAGAAGCAGCATGTCATGTCCTTTCCTTTTGTCTTCTTCAGGCACTGGAAAGACTTCTACTTTGGTCAAATATGCTGAGAAGTGGTCTGAGAGCAGATTTCTCTATGTGACATTCAACAAGAGCATCGCAAAGCAGGCTGAATTAGTCTTCCCCAGCAATGTCATCTGTAAAACCTTTCATTCCATGGCCTATGGACACGTTGGGCGTAAGTGAGTATTGTTACCATCATCACTGCTATTTCTTATTAATGTTTATAAGAATACAATCATTATGTTCATAGATCCATAATGACTCCAAGAAGCTTTAATGCTATCAACTCCTTTTAAAAGGGAATACATATGAAGATAAAATAACTGATTTACACCTTATTAAATAAAAAATATGATGCTTACAGATAACAGTAACTTTGTGAAGAGCACATTCTCCTTTGCCCAGAACTGAAGCATTGAAAGTCAAAATTACTTGCCTCAAGTTTATTGTACCACAATCGTGATCATGTTTAGGCTATTCGAGGAAGGGAAGGAAGTTGATGAGGTGTACTCTATTCAAGTTTCCTACGGCCTTCTCACCCATCATCACATTGGACTTGAAACCTTCAGGAAAATTTCATTGCCCATCAAGGCGGCTTTCAGTATCCATCCAGTTTTAAATAGTGTTATCTGTGTTACGTGAAGTCATCTTTTGGGTTATTATAAGGGAATTCTTGAGAGCCAATGTAGTATTAACTATTTCAAATCACTTGGGCCTGGCAAAAAAATCTCTTCCTTCCCCCCACCCCCTCTTACCTATATGTACTGGTGAGTTGGAAATGATCCATAGTTGACCCTCTGGTGAGTTTTCAGAGACAGTTAAGATTCAGAGCATATGAGGAGATTGCCCATCTTTCTCCTGCAGAGCAGCTGGTGGATTCAAACCTCATGGCTTTGTGAATGCAACACAGTTTCTTACTACTAGATCACCAGAGATCCAATGTCATATGGATCTTGGCTGAAAGCAGAGAGGACCAGAGGAATGTCTGTGTTTCTTTGACTATGCAAAGGCATTTGTCTGTGAGGATCACAACACATTGTGGTTAATCTTGAGGAGAATGGGAATCCCAGAACACTTAATTGTGCTCATGTAAAACCTGTACTTGAACCAGGAAGCAGTCATTAGAACAGAACAAGAAAACACCGCATGGTTCAAAATTAGAAAAGACGTGTATCAGGCATCCATCTTCATACCTTTTCAATCTATATGTAGAATAGATCATTCTGGAGGCTGGGCTTTATGAGGAATGTGGTATCAGGATTGGAGGAAGACTCATCAACAACCTGCGTTATACAGATGATAAAACCTTGCTTGCTGAAACTAGTGAAGCATTTGCTGTAGAAAGTAAAGTCCTGTAGTCTTTGGTATGTCCTCACCATCAGAAAGACAAAAGATTCTCACCACTGAGCCAATTGGCAGTACCGTGATAAATGGAGAAGAGATTGAGGCTATTCAGCTTACTCAGCTCCACAGTCAACAAACACTTTGGCACCAGCAGTCAGGAAATTAAAAGACAAATTGCATTGGGGAAATCTACTGTCAAGGATCTCTCCAAAATGCTAAAGAACAATGATGGCAATTTAGACTAAAGTGCACCCTGTCTAGGCTATGGTCTTGTAAATTATATGTTATACATCAGAGAACTGGACAGTGACTAAAGATGACAGAAGACTTGATGCCTTGTGTTGTAGTGGTGCTGGAGAAGAGTATATGGACTGCCAAGAGAACAAACATGTCAGTCTTAGGGTGAAACCAAGCTGTCTCCTTGGAGGCAAGGATTTTGAAGCCCTATCTCATATACTTTGGGCATGTGGCCAAGAAGGACCAGTCCTTGAGAAGGTCATCATGCTTGGAAGGGTAGAGGGACAGGGATAGTGCGAGAGAAGAAGACCCCAGATGAGATGGATTGACACAGTAACTGGGGTAATGGGAGTAGATGTGTCAGAGACTGTGAGACTGGTTCATGATAGGTCGGGGTTCATAGCTATTGTGCTTCAGGTTCCTGTGAGTCACAGATGACTTGTTAGCACTTAACAACAACAACACCACTTGTACGTAATATTTGGAGCTAATGTGTAGTGCCATTTGAGAATGCCACATTGCCTGTAAAGCCAGATACTGTTAATTTGTAACATGTATTACAGGTACCAATTAAAGAAGAAATTGAATCTCTTCAAGTTAACACCCTTCATGGTCAATTTTGTCCTTGCTGAAGGGAAAGGTGGATTCATAAGGGCCAAGCTAGTATGTAAGACTTTAGAAAACTTCTTTGCCTCTGCAGATGAAGAAATAACTATTGATCATGTGCCTATTTGGTGTAAAAATAACCAAGGCCAGAGAGTCATGGTCGAACAGAGTGAAAAATTGGTGAGTACCTAAATAACTTAAGTATTAGAGGCCTAGAGAGAAAAGAAAAGAGTTGTTATGGTACATTGTTATTGCTGTCTTTTACTACTTCAGAACTACTGACAGGAAGTTGAAGACCCATCATAATACTGAATTGTACAGTATTTTTTCCTGTTAACTCATAGACATCATATTTAATTTTCATCATTGTCTTCCTTATTTAATGTCTGAGATGCAGAAATTGAATGACTTGTTCAAGGTTATACCAGCTTGTCATTGTGCTTTCGACACTTGGTATCCAGTGTTTTCTACAGATTAGAAATCTCCTTTCACATTTTTTTCCATTATTGATACTAAACAAATACATTTATTTTTTTATATATATGAAGTTTATTCAATCACTTGTCATTCTTTTTATGAGTTAAATGTCAGATTGAATCTAGAAGAATAATCTGTCTTTTTCTGGCTCATCAAACAGTGTAACAGTGATATGACCGAGATATGTCATATTTCTTGTTATTGCCCTATCTCTGCACTTGAAAAACTCGGAAGTATTAAAAGCTTATTGTAGAACCTTTAACAGATGATCTGAGTTCATATTCATATCAGCCTTTAATTTGACTGCTGAACTGTAGAAATTAAAGTGTTTTTTTATTTTTTTTTAAAGTGTTTTTTTAGATGTCATGTTTTTCAGGGTATTCAACTATGAGTTACTGTATTACTTGTTTTCTAGAATAGTATCCTTGAAGCCAGCCGACTTTGGGACAATATGCAGAAATTGGGGGAGTGTAAAGAAGAGGCTTACCAAATGACTCATGATGGTATGAGAGTTTCCAAATATTAGTATCTGTTAAATGTAACTGCATTACTTATGAGTTGTGACTCTTGTTACTCCTTTCTTTTAGGCTATTTGAAACTTTGGCAGCTGAGTAAGCCTTTGCTTGCCTCTTTTGATGCTATCTTTGTGGATGAGGCCCAGGACTGTACTCCAGGTGATAAACTATTCAGGACATCAGTAGTCTCAAATACATAGAAACAACATCATGATTATGTAAGAGGCCATATATGTGAAATAAGTAGATTCTTCCTTTTTTTTTTTGGTAATTTTTTATTTTAATAATTTTAATGAACATTTACAGAGATTTTGGATTTCCATCCATTCATTGCTGCACTTCTCTCCCTTTTTTTTTAAAGAAGAGCAACAAATTATACTCTTACTCAGAAATCCTTTTTATTTGAATTTAAATCATTTTTACATTCCCAAACAGACTTAATTTTCCTCCAAATGTTCTTCTTAGGCTTCTCCTAACATATTAACTAAGGATAAGTTATCATAATAAGAACCGGTAATCTTCATTCATGCTTGCATGGAAAAATGTAGTCAATTTGGGGTGAAAAATTTGTATGAAAGAGCAGATAGTATCATGATTAGGAGTTTGTGGGTCACCTTTAAGTTTCATGGTGTTATGGGAGAAGATAATGGGTCTCATTTTATGAAAGCCTTTATGGCTTTTTACACTTACTAATTTTTCTAAGACTAATGATAAAGTCTGCTGTTAGGGACCTCTCTAAAGTACTCAGGAGCAACAGTGTCTCTCTGGAGACTAAGGTGCGCCTGATACAGGCCATGGTATTTGCAATCGCTTGTTTTGCATCAGAGAGTTGGACAATGACTAGGGATGTTAGAAGGAGAGTGGATGCTTTTGAGCTATGGTGCTGGAGAAGGGTACTGAATGTACCCTGGACTGCCAAGAAAACGAACAGATTTATCTTGGAGAGGATTAAACCAAGCTACTCCTTGGAGGCAAGGATTCTGGGGCTTCGTCTGACATACTTTGGACATGTTGCCAGGAGGGACGGGTCCTTGGAGAGGGACATCATGCTTGGGAGGGTTGAGGGACAACGCAGGAGGGGAAGACCCTCTATGAGATGGATTGATTCGGTGACTGGGGTAATCGGGATGGGTGTGTCAGAGGCGGTGCGGTTGGCGCAGGATAGAGCAGGGTTTAGGGCTGTTGTGCATAGGGTCGCTATGAGTCGGAAACGACTCGACGGCACATGACAACAACAACAACAACAATGATAAGCTGCATTCTTAGGACCAGAAACTGTTTTGGTTTTTTGTACCATGAGAAAATTGTTTCTTTTAATTGAGTGTGCCTGTCCGGTACTACTCTGGTGACCTAGCGAGTAAGGAGTTGCACTGCCATCCCAGAGGCAGATGGTTCATATCCACTTGCTAGAGAAAGATGAGCAGTCTCCTCTTTGGTCGTTTACAGCCTTTCAAAATCGACTGGTGGGTCAACAAGGAGTCAGTTCTAACTTGATGACACTGAGAGATAGAGTGCCTAGTCTGTAGGAGAAGGCAACTTTCTGTTCAGCGTGGTGTAGCTTTATAAAAGTGTTTTCATCCTTATCTTTTAAAAATACGGTTTTACTCTGTGGTTTGGAATTCCTCAGAGCTCTTATTTTCCCTCTTATTTGGTTACAGCTATCATGAATATAGTTCTCTCTCAGCCATGTGGAAAGATCTTTGTCGGGGACCCACACCAACAGATCTATACCTTCCGTGGTGCAGTCAATGCTCTGTTTACAGTCCCACATACTCATGTCTTCTATCTGACTCAGGTAAATGTTCTGTTTGCTTCTGAATCCCCATAAGCTTAGAAGCAAATGTTATATTTCTCTCTCCTAGTTTTTCAGTTTACTGTGTTCCAGGCACCAAGCAGTGCTTTGTTCAGCAGAGGTTCTCGAAGTGTGGCTCTGACGGGGTCTGCAAGGTCAAAACTGCTTTCATAACACTGACCTATCTTTTCTACTGTAGTGACATTTGCACAGATGATATAAAATGCGTAAAACTACTAGCTCTGTGCCAGTAATAAAGGTATTGCCCCCAAATAGTCCTTGTGTTCTTTACTGCAGCATACTTAGAATAACTGAAAAACAGCAATTCATTTAAGATTATTCATGGTGATACAGCCAGAATTTTTAATTTTCATTGCTTTTGAACCTCGAGTACTTCTGTGCTGTTCTGCTTAAGGAAATGTGATGTACGTGGTATACATAAAATCTTTCTGTATTCTGAAATACTATAGCTCTCTGAGAAAAAGTACTTTTATGATTGACTGACTTGTGCCCTGAGCTGTCTCCCTTTTTTCTTGTAATAGTTTTATAAATAACAGTTGACAGGCCTCCTTTGTTATTCAGACTTAAATGACATTCTCTCAAAAATGAATGAAATGGATGTGTGACTTTCAGAGAAATGATGACTGACATTGTTTGTTGTTAAAGATAAAATTCGTGCTTTCAAGTAAAATTTAAATATTGAAAAACTGATGCCACCATGAGCTTGACAAGTTCCCACACAGCATTTTATGATGATACCAGTGAGTTGGTTTTTCTCTAATTTTGAATTACAAAATGTGTCAACATTTAGGATAACGATGCAATTAATATGTAATTTTAAAAGAGACTATTAAAGGTCTGTGAGCTAAATAATATTAATAATAGTAATATAATAGTATTAAGGCAATTAACAGTTCCTTGAATAAGCAGTCAAAAAGGTAAAAAAAAAACAGCATTTGCCTGCGTAAAACTCATAAAGCAGGAAGGGACAAAGAACAAAGCTGAGAGAAAATAATAAATACAAGGAGAGGTAGAAGGCATGGGGTTGCATTTGGGGAAATACAATCACTTTAAAAGAATTGACAGAGATTATTTAATTAAAAACCACTTTGTTCTGCAAAAGTTCACAGAAAGTCTATTCTAAAGTTAAGGTAGAATAAAAAGAAACAGCCGTGGACACACTACAGGAATTTTTGACATGTAGGGTCCCTATGAATAGAAATGATTTGGTGGAAATGGAAAATATTTGCACATTTTTGTCACTTACTAAAACACATCCAATTGTGCACCTTGAAATTCTGAACTTTTATTTTAGAATTTTATCTTCATACCAAATTTTTGTTGATTTAATTTCAACTTATAGCAATCCTTCATTGGCCATCCAAGGCTATAACTCATTATGAAGTAGGCTGCCCAGTTTTTTCCCATGAAGCAGCTAATGAATTTGAACAGTTGACTTCTGGTTAGCAGAAAAACATAATCACATTATCAAGCTTGTTATGTTGTTGTTATTGTTTTTATGTGTTAAATCGCCTGCAACTAATAGGGACCCTATGTACAACTACTTCCAAGCATGCACTATCCTGAGCCAGTCTTACTGACTCCAACAAAATACATATTTTTTCATTTCAAATAAAGTCTTTTAAGCTAAAAAAAAGGAACTACTTCTTTAACACATTGCCTCACACTTTTTAAATTGATGACCATGCTTAGAAACACATTTGCCGTCATTTGCGGCAGTGTGTTAAAGAAATTCTCAAGTTTAGATATTGGTGATCGCTGAACAACATGATGAACATAATATTCAATTTTATATGTAAAAAATACTGAAATGGAAAATGTTTTGTTCCATATATATTTACCACAATTTTAAAAGAATGTTATCTGGTTGTTTTATGTTTTATTATAGTGTAGAAAATCCTGTAACCTACCCTGTGACTTTATTTCTTTGAGTTACTGTAATTGTGGTCTGTCGTGATTTAGGGTGAACACTTGAATAGTTTTGACTTTTTTTAAAAAAAAAACAAACAAAACCAACAAACATAGACTATTTTTAGAACATTTTCAGAATTACAGAAGGAATAAGAATATGATACATCTCTCCCACCTATTTTCTACTTTCATTAATGTGCTACAAAAAGACTCTGAATATTGCACTACAACACTGAGAAGCCAAAGCAGAGGAGAAAATTAAGACCTTAAGGAGCTGAACAGAGATTTCAAAAGGCAGCATGGGAAGACAAAGCAAAGTATTACAATGAAATGTCCAAGGAGCTGGTGTACTGAAATCAAAAGGGACGAACTTGCTTAGCATTTCTTAAGCTGAAGGAACTGAAAAGCGGATTCAAGCCTTGAGTTGCGATACTTAGAATGCTGAAGGCAGAATGTTGAATGACCCAGAAAACATCAAAAGAAGACGGAAGGAGTACACAGAGTCACTGTACCAAAAAGAATTGGCCGACACAGAAGAATTTCATATCAAACAACATATGATGAAGAGCCTAGGGTGATGAAGGAGGAAGTTCAAGCTGCTCTGAAGGAATTGGCAGAAAACAAGACCCCAGGAATTGATGGAATACCAATTGACATATTTCAGCAAATAGATGCTGCCTTGGACATGCTCACCAGGTTATGCCAAGAAATCTGAAGGACTACTATCTGGCAAACTAACTGGAAGAGATCTGTATTTATCCTCATTCCAAAAAAAAGGTGACCCAGCAGAGTATAGAAATTATCAAATGATATCTCTACTATCACATGTAAGCAAGGTCTTGCTGAAGATAATCCAGAAATTACTTGAACACAGCAGAGAACTGCCAGATGTGCAGGCTGGGTTTAGAAGAGAATTTAACACTAGGGACATCATAGCCAATGTTAGATGGATGTTGGATGAGAGCAGAAAGTACCAGAGGAATATCTATCCATGTTTCAGTGACTGTGCAAAGGTGTTTGACTGTGTGGATCTCAACACATTGTTCCTAACCTTGAGAAAAATAGTGTTCCCAGAACAATTAATTGTTCTCATGTGAAATCTCTACTTGGACCAAGAAGCAGTAGTCGGAACACAGCAGGGAAATACTGCATTGTTCAGTATCAGGAAAAGTGTGCATCAAGGATGCATACTATATTTATACCTTTAAATCTATATGCAGAACAGGTCATTCTGAAAGCTGGATTTTATGAGGAAGAATGTGGCAACAGGATTGGAGGAAGACTCATGAACAACCTGTGTTATGCATGCTGATGACACAACCGTACTCATTGAAACTAAGGAGAACATAAGGCGTTTATTGCAAAAGGTCAAAGACTGTGGTCTTCAATATAGATTGAAGCTCAGCATCAAGAAAACAACGATTTGCCACTGGGCCAGTTGGCAGCTTCATGATGGAGGGAGAAGAGATTGACATCAGCTTTCTTGGTTCTACAATCAACACTCTTTACCTCAGCAGTCAGGAAATCAAAAGACAAATTACATTGGGAAAGTCTGCTGTCGGGAACCTCTCTAGAGTACTGAAGAGCAACAGTATCAGTCTGGAGATTAAGGTGCACCTGATACTGGCCTTGGTCTTCGCAGTTACTTGCTATGCATCTGAGAGTTGGACAATGACTAGAGATAATAGAAGAAGTATCAATGCCTTTGAGTTATGGTGCTGGAGAAGAATGTTGAATGTACTGTAGACTGCCAGAAGAACAGGTTTGTCTTAGAGAGGGTGAAACCAGGCTCTTCCCTGGAGGCAAGGATTTTGAAGTTCCTTCTCACATACTTTGACACATGGCCAGAAGTGACCAGTCCTTGGAGAGGGACATCATGCTTGGAAGGATAAAGTGACAGCACACGGGAGGAAGACCTAGGATGAGAAGGACTGATTCAGTGACTGGAGAAAAGGGATTAGATCTGTTGTAGATTAGGAGATTGGCTCAGGGCAGGGTTTAGAGCTAATATACATAGGGTTGCTATGAGTCACAGGTGACTCAATAAAGACAACATGCCACAAATAATGAGCTAATATTGATAGGGTATTAGCACAAACCCTTTATTCAGATTTCCTCAGTTTTTAACTGTTATGTTTTGCTATTTTAGGTTTCCATTCATGCTTCTGCATTACATTTAATTTTCATATGTCTTTAGCCTTTTCTTGCCTGTGGCAGTACCTCAGGCTTTTCTTTTTTCATTCATTTATATTAAGTTTTTAATGAACTTAATGGTTTTAAGGCATACCAGAGGAAATCCTGGTTGAGCAGTGGATTATGCATTGAGTGACTAATCAAAAGTATGGAGGTTTAAACTTATGAGTCACTTTGCAGGAGAAAGAAATCAGTCTGCTTCCAGAAAGAGTTATAGTTTCAGAAATCCCACGAGATAGTTCTACTCGGTTCTTTACAGTTCCTGTGAATCAGGATCAACTTGATGGCAGTGGGGATTTTTATCCTTTGGAGTGGAGTTTATCTTGTGCTTTTCTCATGACTAGACTGTGGGTACAGAGTTTCGGGAAGAAGACTATAGAGATTAAAATGCCGTGCTAATCTGATGATTAAAAAAATGGTGATAATACAATGGAATACTACGTTGCGTTGAAAAACAAGGGACTCATGAAATATTATTCAGAATGGATGACTCTAGAGGACTTTATGCTGCATGAAATATCTCAGCCACAAAAGGGCAAATACTGCATAGTGCTACTGTTGTAGAACAGGACTGACTGAAAAAAATTGGACAAATTATGTATACTCCATTGAAACAGATGAGGGAAAGAACAGTTTAAAAGCGATGTATGGTGGGGTATTATGGTTATGATAAGAGTCCAGAATGAAGGTTGCATAGTGGAATGTACTCGGGG